AAGAATTGCCATTCTTTTGTCATACTAGTTATGATGAAAGATTGAAATGCTTTCAACTTAAATTGCATAAAAAAATTATAAAAATATCCAATTGCACGTACATAATTTTCTTGTTTGGTGATTTAATTGCACATTTTGTAAGTTCACAGTAACCCATCTACCAAGGGTATATAAAAATTCTGAATTTTTTTTTTTCAAAATCAATTTATTATAATTAATTCAAAATGTCTAACTGAATTGTGCTACAATAAATTGTAACAACATCAGCAACACAATATAAATTATTAAAAGTATAAACTAATAATCTAAGTGTAACCATTTAAGATCAAACTACATAAATGTCCAAGTTATAAAAGAACAAACCAGCTAGAATTGGAAACATGTAATTCTCATGTTTCTAAGAAAATGTACTAAGGTTCCTTATTGCAAAACATATCACTCACCACTTCCCCACAGAGTTGAAGCATATCTACAAAAATTGAAAGGAAGCATGGTGCAAATATCCGATCCATGTTATTAACCTTCACTCCCATGTAAATGATTCATTGCAACAAACTCAACAACATTATTAATATTCGATATAACATTGATAAGGTATATTCATCCAGCTAACCAAACAATAGAATATAATTCATGTTCTATTCCTTACATATACCATTCATATGGAATAGCATTCCAAACATGTTGTTAAGGTATGTAGTTGCATTTTTAGGGGATAAATTAAGACCTCTGCCCCATTCGTCTAGCGACCAGTAAGGAAGTCGAGCTTGAATTGAACTTTGTGATTATCAAACCAATTATTTTGACTAACTTAATTGGGATTGTTCATACTAATTAAACTGATAAAGAATTCGAATTTAAAACCTTGAAAGATTGTGATTATTAGGTATTTGATAGATGCAATGGAGCAGACAGGTAGGGGTGCATGCAGCTCACTGCCCACGTACATTCTTCCTATTAATTATTCTTAACTTTTCCAAAAACTAAGATGCATGTGTACACACTTAAAGTATATGATTAAAATTAATTAAGTACATGCATCTATTGTTATATAGAATAATAATGTTATTTTCTCGAGCTAATTTTTATGGGAAACTGTCTTAAGAGTTAGGACTAACCTAAAGTATTTTGTTCAGAACTCAAAACTAAATTACAATATTGTTTTTGGGTTAGAAAAAAATGTCTAAAATGGACCGCGATAATTTATTTGGGTTAGTCCAGATTAAGTATAGAATAATAATTTATTTTCAATATTTTCATAAAATACCATCATCTATTTATAATAGTTGACATTCTTATTATTTAAATATTTAGTATTATATATATTTGTAATTGGAATCTATATTAAAATATGATTATTAAAGTAATTGGAATCTATATTAAAATATATTTTTTAAAGTGTAATAATTTATGTGTGGTATATGCAAATTATTGAAGTTGCTATTTTTATTGAATACTGTTATTCCGAACTAATTAATAAATAAATAATAAAACCAAAGGATATATAAAATTAAATTGTAAATTAGTTTTTTTTTTTTTTGGTGATAAAGGGAACTCGCGGTATTCGAAGATGTGCATGGGATAAACTGCACTCTTGGGTAATAATCCAGAAATCACATTATATTGTAGGCTCAACTAAGAAGGTATTGGCAAGAATCGAATTATTGAACTTCTCGTACGATAATCTGCTCCACTCACTTGGTTACTGTTATGAAAAATTGTATATTAGTTGTCACTCAAAAGAAACAAATTAAGCATAATAAATTCTTAATTTATATATAGTACGGAGTATATAAATTAAAATACTAATCAACCAATATAATACTACTACTCCATCTGTATCCAATTCTTCGCAACAAAACATAGTGCAAATCCCATTGTCTAGCATAGCTTAAGAATAATCCTATTTGTTTTTTCGTATGTTATAACATTACAATCATATTACCTATATGTCGAACTTGCCAAAAATCTTAATAGATATTGGGGGTGTTTGGTAAATAGTTGTTAACCGATTGAATTAGTGTGTTTGACTAGTTGATAATATTAACTGATTAAAAAAAAAAAAATTAGTTGTTAATCGGTAACTAATAACTTGTAGTGTAAGCTAAAAGGATTTGGTTCTCCTTAAGTATCGAGTTTGATCGTTGTGAATGGAATAACAGACGTAAAAGGACAGTAGTTTGTAGGTTAAGTTACAAGAACTTGGGCCAAGAACACTGCTTCTGGATGGGTTAGTGAAAATATACATATGATGTGGCCCAAATACTAGAACAGGGCAAATTATGTTGTGCATCCGTATGCACCATGATACAAAAACGATATCGTTTTGCATTAAAACGCGCGTTTTACTTAAAAAAAATTAGTTTCGATTCCCAGCAACAACATTATGTTATTCATTTTTTAGTTTATTCATTCTGGATTTTTAGTTAAGAAATTCTGGATGTATAGTTATGTAATTCTGGATGTATAGTTATGCAATTCTGGATGTCTAGTTATGAAGTTATGGATGTGTAGTTATGCAATTCTGGATTTATAGTTATGAAGTTATGGATGTGTAGTTATGCAATTCTGGATGTATAGTTATGAAGTTATGGATGTGTAGTTATGCAATTATGGATTTATAGTTATGAAATTATATATGGATGTGTAGTTATGTAATTCTGGATGTATAGTTATGAAATTATGGATGTGTAGTTATGCAATATAATTCTATTTTTTTTTTTTGAAAGAGAAAGATTAATTCATTAAATCGGAATCAAGAATGTCAACAAGAAAGGCTGGTGGTTCATCCAACCACTCACCGCAACCTAACACAGAAAAAGCCTCCCTAGCAACAGTGTGGGCAGCACAATTCGCAGATCGCTTAACATGACAGAACTGCACATCCTCAATCTCAGATGCAAAGCTCTTTACATCATCTACTAAATAGCCAAAAACAGAAATAAAAGAATCCGAAGTAATAGCATTAAAAACAATCTTACAATCTGTTTCCACATCTACAGCACCCAAACCAGTGCCCTTTAGCCAACTCAATGCCTCCCGAATAGAGAGCACCTCTGCTTCCCTAACCGTATACAACCCGGGTACTCTGACATTCTTTGCAGCAAGGAAATTACCACCATCATCCCGCAAGACCCATCCGAACCCCATAGCATTATCCCCCTCCCTTAACGCAGCATCAGTATTAAGTTTGAGCCTCCCATGCACTAGTCTTGCCCAAGAAGTCACGGCATGTGTGTCTTTGTGGCCAGCACCAACTAGTAGTTTTTCGTTAGCATCTCTCCAACATTCCAGAAACGCCATAGTCCTACTTTTTTTTTTTTTTTTAAAGTTAGACGTCAAAACGATGTTGTTTTTGCATTCGTATGCACCATGCATGGTGCATACAGATGCATAGCATAACGATTGCTAGAACAAGAATTAAAATAGTTGCTAGTAGCTAGCTAGCCTGCAGAGGTTGTCTGTCTCCTCATGAGTCGCTCAATCAATCCTCAATTTTTAATTACTTGGTCAAATTTTTGGACTTTGGATCTCTCAAGTCACTGGAGCAAGATCTTTAGGGTGACCCTTGAATCATTGAGTTAAATCATACGGGGCATCTTCTTCTTCCTCCTTTTGACTTACTTGGAGGTAAAAAGTCTGACTCAAAACTTTAACGATACATTAGTCACTCTTAACCTTCCCACAGTACACAATATCAGATTTCAGACAATAGTCTTGGCAAATCTTGAAAATTGAAATACAGCTAATGTGTCTTGGTGTGCTTTAGGCTGTGGTGACAATGAACAATTTCCAAATGTTTGAGGGGATGGTGAATCCTAGCTGGATCCTTGGCTTGGGGTGGGCTAAGATAGACGTTATTTGGTCCATGGTGGTGCACAAGCCATTGAACAAGTTCCAAGGCAACATGACCAACATCCCTCACTGCTGCAAAAAGAACCCCACCATTATTGACCTGCTTGGGTGCCCTACATCTAGAGGTGTAAAAGTAGGCCGAAATATCCAAGTTGACCCGTACTCACCCCGCAATGGAACAAGTTAGGACCACAAAAATTAGGAGTGTTATGCTGTGCAATCGTGGTGCACACGGTTACAAAAACGATGTCGTTTTGACACGCAACTTAAAAATAAAAAAATTCAGTTTCGATTGCCGTTAACGGCGTTATGTTGTGCATAATTTGAACTATACATTCATAACTTCATAACTATACATTCAGAATTGCATAACTACACATCCATAACTTCATAACTATACATTCAGAATTGCATAACTACACATTCATAACTTAAGAACTATACATTCAGAATTGCACAACTACACATCCATAACTTCATAACTATACATTCAGAATTGCATGCATAACTACATATTCATAACTTCATCAGGATTGCATAACTACACATCCATAACTTTATAACTACTACAAATGGGCAAATTATTGTGTAGACCATGGTCCACACAATGTTATGTAGACCATAACAAAAAGTACATTATTAATATACTAAATGTATATTATTTTTGTAATGAATGTGCATTATACAATATAATGTACACTCAGTACACAAATAATGTATATCTCCTGAATACAATATACATTTTTAATTTTTAATATACTAAATGTACTTTTTTTTTGTACTGAATGTACAATATTTTACAGTATACAAAATATGGTTCATACACAAGTACAACTTGTGTGGACCATGATCAACACAATAATGGTTGCTGCAAAGGTGGAGTCTTGCAAATTGCTAAAGAAGTAAATATGTTCATCAAGAAAAAAAAAAAAAAAGAACAAAAACAAAAACAAAAGAAGGAAGCAGATGCACTGAAAGAATAAGACATCAGCAAAGCAGTGGTTGATGCAATCTTGTAAAGAATCTTTTATACATAGAATAATTAGGATGCAATTCAATCTTGAGAACAGAAGAACCAAAAATGGCATAGTAAAATCTATCTGGTTGTGACTTGTTCTTATTGTGGTACAGCTATAGTAACACTATGAACTCCAACATCTACAAACAATATGTTTTAATGTTTTTAGCAGAATACGAAAACAAACTGCTGAACAATTCCTACAACAAAAAATATGGCAGCAATTCGGATAATGGTACAACAAACACACCTAAAATCCACGACGACTGCTCAACTCCATTGCTCTCTTGCATACAGACGCCCTTAGTTGTGGGAATGACTCTCGGTAGAGATGACAGCTATATATGAGCGCTTTCAAATGGTCTCAACGAGGCATATTTCAGATTCACACGAAGAAGAATGCTATGGATGATATCAATGCCACCACTAGAGAGAGTAGAGAGGTCTTGTGTCTAGAACTAGCATTGGGCAAATATGGGTAAGAATCGGGCGGGGGCATGACACAGTTGTCCCCGTTGAAATAAACTCTGCGTGGAAAAGCCCAGCCCTTCTCGAATGTGAAACTCGTTAAATCCTTTTTGAATAGAAGCTCCGACTGGACATTTCCTAAAGGACCAGCTTGCGAGAGAAAATCATTGTAGAATTTCACACCCCATAACATTGCAGTGTCATCTGTTAGAAAGAAAAGGTAATATCAAATTAGTTGTCTTCCAAAACTTTAAGTATAGGAACTAAATAGTTTAAGACATTTGGCAATGTCTTAAACTGGTTTTCGGGGCCAAGGACTTCGTGGTCTAGTGGCACCAAGTTGCTCTCCCATACGGGAGGTTGTGGGTCTGAGCCTCAGTGGAGGCGGCGGTATTGACTCTTTGTGCTTCAGTAGGTTGAGAAAGTAGTTATGAACAGCTACTGTATTGTAACGGAGTCAGTAGTACTCAAAAAAAAAAAAGAAAAAAAAAAGGATTGGTTTCGGGATTAAAACATTCAAGGAGATCTAGTAGTATATAGGTATTCAACATTTTTTGGGGGGACGAGAGAAACCTGCAACCACTACCCGAGGGTGTGCACGGGGTAAACCCACCTTGTGATTCTAGCCCGAAAAGGACCACAAGGAGGTAAATCAGCCTAGGTTACCTATAACTGACCGACTCAAACCAAGAAGGGCAATACGCCACTCCCATTGGGAGTCAAACTTGTAACCTTGTGGAGCAACATTTTAGTTGACAATTTATCATTTCATCTCATGCCTATAAACCTAGCAGCTGAATTTTAAGGATATGAGATGACATAATATAGAGTGAAGATAGCTTTTCTCGATGCCAAGTGCAACTTACTTAATGATCCATAAGGCGTTAAAGCCTTGTAGTTAAAGCTGAAGATCTGTGTCAGATTGTCGAAGTTGGGATGTTGGACAACCATGTTCCATTGTGAATAATTCATCCGGTAATTGAAGTTTGTTACGGTGATCTTCACCCGCCAATATTCCTTGTAGTTAAGCTTCACATGCCAATGAATTCTGATCGGGCACATGTGGTTTGTACATTGGACCAAAGGAGCCAAGTTGGCCTTCGAATTCGCATTCCCATGATCCGATACAACTGAAGCTAGGTGGGGAGAATCTGAACTGCAAGAGCAAAGCAAGACAGACAAATCGAGTAAGAAAATTTAAGAATGACACAAATTTTAGGAAACACGAAGAGAGAAATAAGCGAGACATACTCTACACAGTTTTCACGTTGAGTGCCATTGTTTTGACAGCCACAAGTGCACGTTGGGCAGGGCACAATTGTGTCGTTGTAGAAGGACGAGAGTGAGACACAACAAGTCGGGGTTTTTTGAGCTAGAAACTGCGAATACATGCACGTCACGTTCCACGTCACTGACAATAATAGACGAACGAGTTAAAATCCAATATAGAAATAGGAATAACATCTTTTATTAAGCCAAATAACTTACTCATAGCTTGTGTTATTCTTCTCCCGTCTCCCGAAATGAACTTGGTCGGTTTGCCAACTTTTGCTGGCCCGCAAGTATAACCAGGGCCAGGCGCTTTCAAGGTGAAATTCTTTGGTAACCTAACCGTTTTATTGGTGGTTCCCGATTGGCCAACACTAACTTGGAACGAGCTCACCGCGGTTTGTGAATCCTGGCCCCACGAGTTAATAACTCCTCCTTTGCAACAATTCGCAATCTGTTGATTGTATGGAGTTCCGGGTAACAAGTCGACGACTATAGGGTCCTTTTTACAGCAATGTGGAATATTCGCCTTAAACTTCGAACAATCTCCTTGTTCTGTAGTTTGAGCTCCCATCATGCTCCAAATAACCTCCTTTTTCGCCCATGTCCATCCCAACGTCCAACCCGGGGCTTGAATATGCCTATATTGCTGAAAGTTGTACATCGTAACGACAGCCTGTCCAAATGTCAATACGAAGATGATCAGACACGTAACCAAGTTGTTCTCCCATATGGGAGGTTGTGGGATCGAGCCTTAGTAGAGGGAGGCAGTATTGACTCTTTGTGCTTCAGTAGGTTGAGAAATTAGTTATGAACAGATACTGCATTGTAACAGAGTCAGTAGTACTCAAAAAAAACAACTGATTCTATTTCTTTGCGCTATAAAATATATTTGGCAATGCAAAATTTGAGACAAAATAAGTCTACTCCAACTACCATTCAACTATTCTTCAATTAGAAACGTACACTTCAAAGAACTGGAATGCAAAGGTGATACGCAATAAACTAGAACAACGAGAGTTTTGCTTGATTTGGGAAAAAGAGGATCTAAGCGGGATCCCATCGTCCAAGTCAAACCATACTCCATCCCCGCTTTTGCGTGGAGAAGAGGTAAATTTGAGTTATAAGGATTGGTAAAGGGTAATACTTACAACATAGCCATCAGCAGTCCAGCTGATTACATCCCATTTTAAAGTGATGTTTCCATTGGGATCAAGTGGATCAAAGGCATCTGTGGTGGAAGGGACAAAGAAAACATGTCATGAAAAGTCCATTTGCCCATACAGACACAGACAACCTTAAATCATGGTATATAGTAACAAAGATTTCATTAGCTTGAAGATTTGAACTAAACTGTCAGAACTCCAAACATGTTGGCAACACACTCCATTCTGGGGATGGGGGGTGATTAAAGATCTAATCTTTTACTGCTTTCAAGAAAGTAAAAACCAACCAAAAAACACACTACATTCATCTCATAAACTCACTGATAACACTGTATTCAAGAAATCCCAGGATCCATCACAATAGGGTAGAAAGTATAAACAATTAAACCACAAATCTCACAAATATCCAGCACCCATTGCTTCAGAAGCTCAGAATTTCACAGTGAAGACCAAACGGGCATCACAAAATCAATCCTCAGATACAAAATCAAGAACACAGAAGCTTCATAAAAGCTCAAAAAAGCAATCTTGGAACCAAAATCCAACAATTTAGGAAGCAAAAAGGGTACCTGTAGAAGTAAAGCTGAAACAAGAAATCAAGAAGACAATAACGGCGGCGCTAGCAGTGAATTTAGCAAGAGATCTCGAGAGCCCCATTTCCACTAGCATCTATTTCTTCTGCAACTATCAATGGCTGCCACTGCCTGAGATCTGAAACCAAAGAGAGAGAGAAGATTTGAAGTGAGGGTAACTCTTGGGCTCAAGGCAAGTCCCCTCTCAGAGCTAAAGTGGACTTTAAAAAGTCAGTGTGTGCTGTGCTCCTACTGTAAATCTGGGAATTTAATTATTAATATAATCTTATTTCCAAATTAACGATTGTGACGGACAAACATATTTGTCCTTAATTTGAGAAAATCGTATCGTTTTCTTCCTTAATTATTGTCTAACTAATCCTCACACGTAATCGGAAAGACTTGGTAAGTTGATTTACATTTGTGGCGTCGAATCAGTTTAGCTCTTTCGTCTAAACCGACACTACTCTCATTTGTAGAAAATCACCACACTCCATTTTTGACAGCTAACAATTTAGAGGCGGCCCACTAATCTTGCCACCCCCTTTTTATTTTATTTAAAAATAAAAAATAAATATCTATAATTTTTTTCTATACGATAAACTTTGTCATTATTACGTAAATGTGTATTTTTAGCTAATTGACAAATGATCATAATAAGATAAATCAATTTAAGATTATATTTGGTACAGTTTAATTGATCAACTATCAAAAAGCTACAACTTAATTAAAAGAACTAAAATATAATCCGATTAAGTTATCACCAACAGTTCAAAATGCTAGCCCATCTTATTCTTTTTAAAAGGTTGAATTTTTAATCCCAGGAGTCTCTACATCCTGGCTCGACAGAGTATTTGGGAATATCTAAATTATAGTAACTTAGATGAATATAAAAAGATAATGATCTTTGTTTACTGTGTACAAGGAACCCCTTTGATAAGTTGTTCTCACAGTGTCACCGGTGAAACTCGATCCTGACCATTCTTTTTAAATTTTACTGTTATGATCAACTGAGGTGTCCATGCAAACTGCTAACCCATTTTATAAATCCTGGGTTGGAAGGGGTAATTAAAAGATTCAACCTAGAGAAGAACAAGAACTGCAGAAAAACATGGTTATATTTTAGGATGTTCCTAATTACCATGAAACTCTATTATTAACGTAACTGTTGTTGGGTGTGACAAGAAGAAAGAGGACAGAGAAAACCACACAGCAGAGAATATTAAGACGGTCTTAATCAAGAAATCAAGAAAAGAATATAATAATAATACAAATAATAAACATGGTCGTTTGAGTAATAATCCATGTGTCCAGCTGCCGACAGTGCACACCGAAGAAGAAAGCACAACCGCACCGTAGAGCTCTGGGCATATTTTTCTAGCTACTTGACCATCATTTCCCATTTTCTTTTTTTAAAAAATAAATAAATATGTTTTCTTTTTAAGTAATAATAAATAAATAAATATTTTCTTTGGCGATTCGTTTACTGTCGGTGGGGATTCATCACGACAATCGGCATGGAAAAAAACAGCGACGCAAATACTAGTGGGTCCTCCTCCTTTCAATTCATTGTTTTATAAATAAAACTAAAAACAACAATTAAATAAAAGAAAATGAAAAATGAAGCATGGATTTTTGAAATTAGATAAAAGTGTTAGTTTAGGTGATGAGAAACATTACTTTTGAAAATTCCAGCAGTAGGGTGTGGTTCAATTTCTGCTATAATATTAAGAGTTTAAATTTTGATTGGGTTCTTTATATAAAGAAGTGTACAATTTAATATTAAGTTAAGATTCATTGCTTATTTGTTATTGATATTTTGAACATTATTCAACCTAAATTTGTTTAACTGCTTTTGTTCTTCCTTCTATTGTATCAAAAAAAAAAAAAAAAAAAACCACACAGACTAAATGTTGTATTCAAAATGAAAAATCTATATTCTTTGGTTTACGAGAAAGCGCACAATAGCTACTTGAAGGTGTATGACAAATTATTATGTGGACTCGAGTCTAATCTGGTAAAAAAAATACACAATTTACATATTAAATGTTCACAATTTTACATTCGGTATGTAAATTGTGAACATTCAATATGTAAATTGTGTATTTTGAACCCGAGTCCACCATTGCAAGGCATTGCAAGGTGGACATAGCATAGTCCATGGTATAACAACGGAATGTGTACTTTAGGTGAAATATGTCTTGTAACTCTAGTTAACAAAAGACTATAAGAGCATTCACAATGGTTGGGGAGAATTTGGAGATAATGTAAGAGTGATTAGGAGAGAGAATGTGGGAAGGGGAGGAAAAAAAAAAAAACAAAAAAATCAAAATCAAAAATAAAAAAAAACAAAAAAAAAATAAAAAAAAATTAAAGGATCAGGCGCGCCGTACGGCGCGCCTGACGCTCCCTCGGGCGCGTGTTTCCGTGTGGGCAGGCTGCTGTGCGCGTTGCCCCTTTTTTCTTTTCTTTCTCTTTCTTCTTTTTCTGCCATTCTCCCCAATTTTGTAGGATGAATATCTCCACCATTATCCCCACCCCACATTTGTTATTATCTCCATTGAGAAGAATTAATTCTGAAATCTCCCCATAATATGCACAAGTGTGGATGCTCTAAGGAAAAAAATTAACTTTAGTTGACTATAATTGACCGGTTTAAACCCATTTTAATCGAAAAGCCTATTGGGCCAATATATTTTGGTTAGTAGAATATAGAAGCCCAATCCAAAAAGCTATATAAGTACATAACAAATTGTGGAGGCCCAAAGATCTTCAGCCCAAAAGTCAAAATCAGGGAGAATCAAGCCCAAGTCAAAGTTACCAAACCAATTTCACCGCCAAATTTTATGTGCAGTAAAAAAGGAAAAAAAAAAAAAAGAATACAAAAATCAAAATATTTGACAGTCTGGCGGCGCCAACATGCTTCTTCTCCAATCTCCATGGCGAATATTCATAGTTCATATTACGGGCTTTCCACAATAGAAAAGTAGTTGAATTTCCCTATTTTATTCCAAATTTTAATTACCGAAAGTCAATTTAATACGGTATTAATAATGGATTCTGGTTAGCAAATTAGGGTTTGGAAATTTTGTAGAATTCATTTTCCGTTGAATAAATTTTCTACCTCCGGATTTCGGAACAAGCATTTTTAGGTCCAAATGGATGCTGCTCGATCTCAACAGCGTTATCAATCCGAAATTAACTGGGACAAGTAAGCTTTTCTTTTGATCGGTTTTACATTTTTGTTAATATTTTTATTTTTATATGTCACGGTAATTATTATGGATGTGTTCGTCTTTATTTAGATTAATTAATGAGGTGCTTAATTATGGAAAATAATGAATTTTGCGTGCTTTATTAGCTTATTAATGACATTGCGGTTTTTCTTGTGCTGTTGTATTCTGATTTGTGGTGCATCTTTAGTCCTGTTCATATGATTCACTTCTCCTGCAGGCTTGACAAAACTAAGTTCTATGTCCTGGGAGCTGGGATTTTTACTGGCATTACAGTTGCACTTTATCCCATTTCAGTTGTGAAGACGAGGTTGCAGGTAGCTGACCATTATGCTGCAGAAAAGAATGCATTTTCTGTGTTCAGAGGAGTTTTGAAAACAGATGGGATTCCCGGTTTGTATAGGGGTTTTGGTACAGTCATTACAGGTGCAATTCCTGCCAGAATTATATTTCTCACGGCATTGGAGACCATAAAAGTAGCCACCTTTCGGATGGTTGAGCCATTCAAATTGTCAGAACCTACACAGGCAGCTATAGCAAATGGGATTGGTGGCATGTTGGCATCGCTTTGTTCACAGTCTATATTTGTTCCAATTGATGTGGTACGTATTACTGTCATCAATCATATACTTGACTGCATCTTCACACTGTCCAACATTTGTCTCATGAAGTGATTTCAGCATCAAATTTGTAAATTTTTCGAAAACATAAATATATCTAAGTATAGCTATCCAATCAACTTACATGTTCTTATAACTTTTTTTTTCTTTCTTTTAACTTTAATTTGCCTGTAATTAAATATGGTATCTCTTTACAAAATTGGATGCTAAAGGTTAGCCAAAGGCTAATGGTGCAAGGATACTCAGGCCATGCTAACTACAATGGGGGCCTAGATGTTGTTCGCAAAGTCGTGAAATCTGAAGGCATTCGTGGACTATATAGAGGATTTGGTCTCTCTGTCTTAACTTATTCTCCATCAAGTGCAGTATGGTGGGCCAGCTATGGTTCAAGCCAGCGCTTCATGTGGAGGTGAGTCATGTCATTTCCATTTCATATGAATGCATTGTAGTATCTTTGATTTCCACTATTTCCTTTCCCTGACTTCTTTTTCTTGATGAATAAAGTTACTGTGGTGCATATTCCACAGATATTCCTTTTTGACCAATTCTGGCTGTTTCTAAGCTATACTTTTTTGTGGAAACTCTCTCAAGCATTTCACTGTTTTAACATGTTTTTGACAGCCTCTTAGGACATGGGACTGAGAATGGTCAATCTGCTCCTAGCCAGGGAATGGTAGTGTCAGTTCAAGCTGCTGGTGGAATTATTGCGGGTGCTACTGCATCTTGCATCACAACTCCATTGGACACCATTAAAACACGTTTGCAGGTGTCTAGTAACTTATCATGCAATTTTTTAATTTTTTTTTTAAAAATTGAATAAATGGTAACAACCTCGCTAGGCTTGACAATGTGGTATTTTTTAAATGCAGCCTATTGCACCCCAGTGCAGTCGAAAACTGAATGAACTTATAATGTTTTGCGAGCCTTCATCTTCCCACATTACACTTTTTATTTCCTCTTTTTCTTTTCATGTGTGCTAAATGAAATCATATAGGTGTAGCCTTAGATGCTTTTAAGCAATAATACATATACTGGTGGAGTAAATCTCTGCTGATGTTTGTAGATTCCATAGTTCTAAATTGGAAAACCAATTATTTTTCCTGCCCTTTGCTTTAGTTTGTGGGGAAGAAAGGAAGATTGCTGAGAATTAATTTGAGGTCTAGTAATACTGGAAAGTGGAAATTGACCTGATCTCCATTGACTAATTCTAGAGCTTTTGGTACATTGCAGGTGATGGGGCATAAAAATGACAGACCTAATGCAAGACAAGTAGTTAAACAGCTGATTGCCGAAGATGGTTGGAGTGGATTATACAGAGGACTGGGTCCAAGATTTGTCAGCATGTCGGCATGGGGTACCTCGATGATACTAGCCTATGAATATCTGAGTAAGGCCGCT